AAGCGGTAAAGAACTTGGGGTCGAAATCATAGTTAGTCTTCACTAACTAACCGGGTGAGTAACTTGTAACATCCATAAAATTTCATAAAATTTAAACTTTTCAAAACAACCGTTTTTCTATAGAAGTGTTTACAAAAACCGTTGTTCCCAAAACATTATTTAAAAATCAGAATCTCTTTCAACATAGTTTTCAAAACATTCACATTACCAGAGCTTCCCAGAAATCATAAGTCCAAAACGCGAGTATGTGTACGGTCACGCCTTCACCTTGTCACGATCCACAGACGTACCTGAAACCATAAACCAAAACTGTAAGAACGAAGCTTAGTGAGCTCCCCCAAAGTACCAACACCCAAACATATAACATATACAAATAACAGCATGTATTGGGTCCACAACTAAAAGACTGGATTACCCCTTGAGCCCACAATATGAGTATGGCTTGCCTATCAGGTCCACAACTCATATATGGCTTGCTCTCGAGCCCACAAAATAAGTCTGGTTTGCCCTTGGTCCCACAACTTATGTATGGCTTGCTCCCTCAGTCCTTGGACTTGAATACCAGTGAGTAGCCCTCAGTAGGAGTCTGGCATACCACCCAGTCCTAAGCTCGTATTTGGAATGCTAATGAGCCCTCAGTATGAGTCTATCATGCCCTCCCTAGCCCTCAGTTCATATCTGGAATTCTAATAAGTCCTCAGTATGAATTTGGCATGCTCGCCCTGACCCTCAGCTCATATTTGGCATACTCCAGGGTTTGTTGGCTACAACACAAAGCAGTACAACCTCAACCCAACCCACACAATATGTCGACATGTAACAAGTAATATCATATACAGATAAACAGACAGTACCACAGGCAGTCCTATAGATCTACCAGACTAACATATTGATATTGCCATATTTATACATATTTTTAGGCAATATTTGAATACATTTTGATTAACATTTTGGTTTTTTGCATAGATAAATGGTACTTACAAGATTAAATTACATTTTGCAGCCAATAGAATTCATCTTGAAGAATAAGGACTGAAAGCGACAAGGATTGGAAGTTTGGAGGTTAAAAGCTTAAAAGATAAAGATTTCAGCTAAAAAAACGTTCTCACGACGTGAGGAGTGAATGCTCACGACGTGAGCATGGAGATTCCAAAAGTTAAACATATGGAAGCAAGAATTCGTGTTGGATACAGATTACTATCGAGCTCACGACGTGAGATACCTTTCTCACGACGTGAGGAGAGTCAACTCGGAGAAATATATATATCCTTGATCCTCACGATTTTGGGAGGTTGGCTAGAGATTAGAAGTTCCAGAAGACGACATTCAGAGGAAAATTAAGAGAGAAACCAAGGAGGAAGAAAAAGATCATACTTAGATTTTTGGTTTGGTACATTACTATGCTTCCAATCATGAAGTCTACTTATTTGTTTGTTAGTATGAGTAGCTAAATCTAGTTGCTTCTGTTAGGTAAATGAAGCTGGAACTCATGAACTAGTTAATTGGTTATGGATTCTTTTAGTTGGTTAATAGCTTGTGTTTGATTTTTTATACCTAGCATGCTTAATTTGATACTAGATTGCTTTAATTCATATTCTATGTAGCTTAGTGACCATTAATCTGCATGAATTTGATTACCTAGTAATTTAGTGAACATTAGATTATTAGAGCTAAGATCGAACCAATATTAGATAAGTAATTAAAGTATTGAATTTGGTTGTGCTGGAGAACTCATATTATGACCATAATTGTGTTTGTTAACTCAATCTTACATAGCTCAAATCCTATCTAGTAATTAATTATGTGTTAAATTATGTGTGACTATGCATAACTCTACATGAATTAATTCAATATTAGTATATTTGGACTTGAATTACTAATAAAATAATATTTGGTAACCAACGAGAATTATCCATAGTTAATAACTAGTCATTGAGGGAAATTGGATTTAAACCAACAGAAGTGTTTTTAATATTTGATTGAATTAGTTGATTGAGAATTTAAGTTTGTCTACACTTGCAAAATTAAATAAAAACCATTTAACTTTTGCTAGAATTTTAGATTGATTTAATAGTAAGTAGGTTAATTAATTAAAACCATTCCATGAGTTCGATACCCGACTTTTGTGCTATACTATTTGCGAAAGGGTATACTGCCCTGGGTCGAATAGCTAGTAGAATAGGAGGTAAAATTTGGTGTAGTTGTTTTAGACACATCACATATCAAGACCAACATAACCAAACTAGCATGCGTATCTATTCCATACTCGGCATATCAACAATATTAGGTTATCAACCAAAGGGCCGGTCTTGGTGCATTCGACCCGAAAGTACAGTGAGGAAAACTCACCTCGAATGCAGAAGCTCCCCGAAGGAAAATCCCTGGCCGCCGCCCTGCCGGCTTCCCGAGCTATCAATACCAACAACACACCCAATTAGCAATTTGGTTCCATGCTATAATCCATAATACTTACTTGGGGTAAATGACCATTTTACCCCTGACCCAACATGAACCAAAGCTGAGGCCCAAAACCAAAAGATCCACTAAGACCCACTAATGGCCCAATTTTCCGAATTGGGCCCAACCCCATATGGGTCTTATCCTAAGCCCATATTTTCCTTAAATACAAATCAGGTTACCACAAACACCCCTTGGGACAAACTTGGTCAAAGACATAAGTCAAAAGTCAAAGTCAACGACCCAAGTTGACCAAACTCGTCGAGTTGCCCTTCAACTCGTCAAGTTTCCTTCATCAGACTGCAAAATCGAGAAGAACCGATCCAAGTCGCCGAGTTCACCCTAAAACTCGCTGATTTCATCAGGAACCAAACATCTTAATCCATTAAGCCGACATAATCGAAACTAACAGCTTCCCCACTCAGATCTTAATCTGAAATAGCGTCTAGAAGGGTAAAGTTTCCAACTTTACCCCTAGGGACCATCCAAGTGGGCTCAAAACCCAAACCCTAGGCTTAAAAGGTTAAGGGCTTAATCAATAATCACTTAACCACCAAGACAAAGCCCCAAAATACATATCTGGTCCTTTAAGGTTGCATGGTCACGTAAAGCTTCCAACTTTACACTCATGCATGGCTAGGAGATGCTCAAAAGCTCATAAGAGACCAAAAAAAGAGCTTAATAGATGCATGAAGCCCTTAAGACCATAAAGTTGGCACCTTTATGCCAAAAGAACTCATGAAGATCATAGATCTGAAAGAACAAACACTTGGGACTTCTATTTCCCCAACAATCACCCATCCATGGCTAAAAACATGCAATTTAACCAAATAAGAGATCTAAGCAAATATTAAGCAAGGTTAGAACTTTATACCCAAGATGTGCTGGAAATGAAACAGAGAATCAAGATCTGAAAGCTCCTACTTGAACCACCACCTTGCACCAAGATTTTCTTCCCTTCAATGAGCTTCCAACACACCAAAACACACTCATAATGAGCTCACAACACTCAAGGAGGCTTTAGGGTTTCGAGATTAGGGTTAGAGGCTATGGAGGATGGGAATGAGGCCATCACTTGGAACTTAAGGTGTTTAAATAGGGTGCAAAACCCAAAAATTAGGGTTTCTCAAACAGCGTCCAACTCGTCGAGTTCCCTTCACCAACTCGAAGAGTTGGTCCTTAAAAATATGTGCCCCAAAAGCTTCCAACACGTCGAGTTTATACCTTAAACTCGACGAGTTGTCCCCTAAAAAGGGAACTTATTTCCATAATTGACCTTCTAGATTCCGGGTGTTACATAACTCTACTCTAACACCGAATGTTTATTGATGTATATTGTTACACGAATATGAGGATTTAATATAATGTGATATTGTTATATTATATATCTTTAAAGTGATAGAATGTTGCAGTCTGATGAAATGAATTCAGGTGATAGTTGGTTTATGGAATGAAAAATGAATGTGAGACACTTACTTTGGACGGAGAATTCCCAAATGTGTGGTTATGAAAGTGGTGAAACATTGGTTAGTTTAACAGTATTGCTTTGGGATTACTTTTATAGTAAGTGAGAACAATAGGTAATCAGTATAAAAGTTAATTAGCATATCGATTGTGATGTATATGTTGGTTGATAAGTTAATTATTAAATGATGTTCGTGCTGTTATGTTATTGTAGTTGTTATTTACTAAGCCTTATGGCTTATGGTGTTTGTTATTGTTGTGTTGCAGGTTAGGTTGATATAGCACCCGACTCAAATCATGAATCATGTACTTGATGCCATTACGAATCCTGGTGATAACTTCCAGTATTCCAGTATGCTAGTGTACACCGAAATGTTATATAAAGTTATTAATAATTTTTTTTATTAAGGTGTACCTAGTGTGAAAATTTTGGGCGTTACAGAAAGGAAATCATCACTGGCTTCCATTTCTTCCAACAGGTCGGTAGGGGAAGGAGAAACATTCGAACGGATGCTGAGAATCCATTTGTGGGTTCAATTGATTCCATCGAAACTAATGGGCAAGGAGAAACAACGAAGACAGAAATGATGTTGTGGTGCCGTTTGCTTTCATTCTCTTTCACCGGAGGGACAACAGGAGTATGACACGCAGGGGTAGTGGGAGCGGCGGTGGAAGCGAGTAGGGTGGAATCGAGATTTACTTGTCGACAGAGTAAGGAATAATTTTTTATTGTGGGATGGGGTGGGTGTTGGACCCACCTGCTTTATTTTAATTACTTATTTTAGTAGGTAAATAAAAAAAGAATAATAAATTAATTAGAAAAAAATATACAAGGGTATTATAGTCATTTTAGGTCGATCAGGGACCATAACCGAAACAAAACCAAATAATAAGGATGGTCGAAGTTAAAAAATTAAGGACCAAATGCACAGCCTACCCAAACCACAAGTACCATTCATGTAGTTTACCCTAAAATGAATTTGTTTATAGTCTCCAAAAACAATATATATATATATATATATATATATATATATATATATATATATATATATATATATATACACTTTACTTGATACAGATTAATAAAAATTGTCAAAGAACCTGTTTATATATTTATAAAACAAAAAACAAATAACATGTTACTAGTTTTCTTTTTCTTAACATAAACATCCACCAACATAAAAGTAAAAGCTAATATAAATTAACAATATTAGCACTCCGACAACTCATAAAACTAATTAAAAACTCAATCAAAAGGCAAAACACTAACTAATTAAAGATTTGCATCCAAACCTATTAACACAAAAGTAAACTAACAAACTTCAAATAAAACATACATGTGGAAGCAGTAGCAGTTCCGGCAAGTTAGAAAAGAGGAGAAGATGGAAAACAAGGGCAGACTCTGTCTCCTTGACAGCTGGTCGGTGTTGTCTCCGACGATTCTACTTGTGGCAGGCGACTACATTAGAAATGAAAAGAAGATGGAGTCATTTGGGTGTTTTGGGTATGTTACAAGAGACAGAGGAGAGTGGGTATCATTGGTTTTCAAATTAGATTAAGGTTACCCGGTATGGTAGCAAATTCACACGTAGGAACCAACGTGGAGGATGATGTGGAGTGGAGTGGAGTGGTGGTTGTCACGGAGCTTCATAGACACCATTCTCTCTAGCTCTCTCTTCTTTCACCTCTTTCTCTCTTTCTCTTCTTCACTACTTGTTCACTAGTGAACACCATTTCCACAACCTAGTGAAATGGTTAGATGATGATGTGGCTTGCTTTTCACCCGTGAGCGCTACCCGGTTATCTCAGTGTACCAACATCTTAAAACAAAAAATATGTACATGTATATGTGGTGGTACCAACATTCAAGTGAGGGTCCATACACTAGCTGCGCCAATGACATCATATTCAAATAAATCGAAAACTATTCCCCCGTTGTGTTCATTATCGAACCTATGCCTGCCCCCACTACAAACATAATCCGATATATCTTTACCCATTCTGTCGGTCCATGAAATATGATCAACGTTATGAGCCTCCTTTGTTTCCCCATCAAGTAATTGTTGTTCATCATCATCTTCATATATAAGGTTTATAACACATTCCTCTACATCCGGATGAAGATATTCACCCCCTATTTTCCAATTCCTAGTGTGTGCTTCCAGATCATAGATGTTTATGAGAATTTGATCTCCAGCCTCCAATAGATTACCACACCTCCACAGGCTCAACCATGCATAATTTTCCACATTCTTAGGGATTTTCTGAAGACCTCTCTGGTAATCCCACAAACAATCCTTGGTAATGTTATGTACATTTATCCACAAAATAAAATATTCATATTTCCTTGATGGAAAAAGCACAACACACATATTGAAGCCACGTATTCTCGATCTATCATTATGCGAAGGAACTTGGAATGAAATTTGTGGGCCCCTTTCTTTATACATAAAGTCGGAAGGGATTCCTTTTCCAGAAACATATGTGCTGAATATACCAAACTCATGTAAAACCTGTGCCACACACACGCACCATTTATGATTGAGTTTGATTTTAAGCATTAGCCTATTAAACAAATATGCAAGCCAGGACAAGACAGAGACAGAGAAAGAGAAAGCACCTGAAGACCCAACTCCATTCCTTCACCCGCTTTCGCATTTACTTCTAAGCCCAGAAAGCATATGATTTTCCTATCAACTTTGTCTATTGATCGAACCTTCCAACGACCCTCGATCTCACACAACTTTGGGCAGTTCCTGTAGTTCATTGGGGTCTGACTATCTGGAAGCTGTACTTTTTCCAAGGAGTTATTGCTCTCGGCAGACAAGAATCCGAGGGATTCTGGCAGACCTAGAACTGATTGGATATTTGAACAATTTTCAACACCAAGGAATTCAAGTATAGGTAGGGTTTGAATACAATTTGGTAAGAAAGTTATATTGTTTCCATTTATATTCAACCTCTCCAGTAAAACCAGACTACTCCAGTCATTTGGGAAAAAAGTGTCAGAGAGATTGCAATATGAGATATTCATTTCCACCAAAGCAGACAATGATGGTACCAAATCCAAGCTTTGAACCTGTCCAAGAACTACACAACCAGACGTTCGAAGTGATACAATGGATGTAGGTAAGCATGGAAACTCTCTTAAGCTTCTACAATCACTTAGATCCAACAAGACTAGTTCTTTGAGGTATGTAATCGATTCATCGACCTTGATCAAACTTGAACAACCTTCAAGGATCAAACTCTCCAGACCGGGGAGTCGACGAAAATCAGGGGTTTTGGTCAGCTCAACAGAATAGCTAAGATTAAGGATTTTTAGGGATCCAATAGTAAACTGTTACATCATGTAAAACCACAATTAGATCAACAGCTTTCTATATAAACATGCATGATATCACAAAATAATAAGTTTATAACCAACCAATAGTCAGAAAATAAAAAGGTGCTGCAAGAAGACAGACATACCTCTAAGTCATCCCAAACACGTTTAGTTTGCTGTGACTCATGTCAAGAACCACCAACTTCTTCAAACAGCTGTCACTTGGTATAGCTTCTAGAGGACATCCATGCCACCTCAACAATCGTAGCTTTCTGGGCAACGTCCTGCATGTCCCAGAAAACATTACATAGTTTAGTTGAAGTAGCATTAAGTTCTTCATCTTTTCCAGCGCACCAATTTCGAAATTTGCATCATTTCCATGCATTCTTTTGCCTTCTAAGCTATGTTTCCTTGGATTATTTATAGTTATAGCTGAAGTTGATTCAGCTTCCTCGGTCTTTTGCATATCAATCATGAGTCCTTCAACTTTTCCTGTACCCTGATTGAGAAATTAAAAAAAAAGGTAAACTATGATGGGTCTACAAGCACGATAAATTAACTAATAATATTGTACAAAAAAGGGGTGTTGTGAAAACATACGGATTGGTCTTGCAACACATCAATACAATCCTGATGGTGCCACAATTTACTTCTTTTCCCAGGCTCCTTTGGTGATTCCTTGCGAACAACTTCTCGTCCCATCTCCTTGATTAATTGATGCATCATCACTCTCCCAATTGAATCAACATATACCAGACATCTATCCATCAGATTCCTGATCCCAACAACAGTGTATAGATCACATTGGGCCAGTAATTTTACAATGTAGTCTTTTTCCTCGCCCTCAAAGAAACAAGCAATATGCAAGAATAACGACTTATCAGTGTCACATTTCAAATTTGTATAACTTATTTCTAGAACTTCCTGAATCTCAGGATCAGGATTGGCTGCCACCTGGCGCATTGTATCTTCCCATTCATCAATTGTCTTACCACATAAGGACGACCCCAATACTTTAAGAGCCAAAGGAAGGCGCTTGCAGTGGTGAACAAATACTTGTGATTGGCTAATGTAGGGTTCAACGGGTTGATGTTGATGAAAGGCATACAAACTAAAGAGCTCAATAGCGTCATCCGCTGATAATGTTCCAACAGAGTGGACCTGAGGATGAACTGTGAAGGCAGTTAACAAGTCCTTGTGCCTGGTTGTTATGATCACTTTACTTCCAGGATAAAACCTTTTCGGTCCTAGTAACACATCCAACTGTTTCCTTGTTGCAACATCATCAAGGATAAGAAGTACCTTTTTGTTGGATATGGCTTTCGTAACCTTGTTGGTTCCTTCATGAACATTCCATACAATTTCTTCCTTATCACTCTTTAAAATTGTGGAAAGAAGCTGACTCTGCAAGCGACACATTTCCTTATCTTGATTCGACACCATCTTATTAATATCCGCGAGAAAACAACTGCCCTCATAGAAACTAGAGTTTGTGTTAAATATGCATTTGGCTATGGTTGTTTTCCCAATGCCCCCCATCCCTGCAATGAGAAGGACTACTGCATCAGGTGACGGATCTTGTAACCATGATTCGATCGCATCAACGTCGTCCTTTATTCCCACTAATTTCTCCTCAATGTATAGGGCCTTGTAGTCCAGCTTCTTTCTTATAACATTCACAATGTCGATTATGAATTCGGACTCGTACCTACATCAATTAAAGGTAAAGATAAAGCAATTAGATTTGTAATATTATTTGTTTTTACTATATTCATTTTACATTAATACACATAGAAATATATCTCTCTTTGTACCGACTAAGCCTAGAAAGCATAATTAATATATATCTAAATTGATTCCGTATATAGTATTCTTTTACTTTACAAATGGTACCATATGAATAGAGATGCACCTTTATTTAAACAATACAATCTTCAAAATCCAGTACCCTATCTTTCTCTTTTGTTGTATAAAGTTTTCTTCTCAAAATATTTACATTTATTGAATTCAAGAAAGAGGTTAAAGAAAAACTTATTTCTATTTTTTCTCAAAAAACTTATATAACTTTATTTTAGATATATACTTTCATGTATCCGATCCATTTAGATCACAAATCAATTCAAAAGGATGGGCTTATTAGATCAATGGATTAACTTGTTTCCATATAGAGGACGTCATATGCATGTCAGATCTAGATCAAGATCCAATCCTAAGCAACAAACTAGTGATTTTTTCCTATACAGGATAACTGGAAGCATACATACCCATCCCCAAGTACCATTCCTGTTAAAGTTGCAGCTTTTCTAAGAGAATCCTTCCATGCCCCCACCTTCTCCAACAATTTTTTCTTCTTTTCAAGATCTGTCTCTGCGTTGATTTTATCATCATACGCATCAAATGCGTCTTCAAAGCTTCCTCTTTGATTTCGAACATCAGATGGTTCCACTTTATAGAACACAGGTACAACTTCATGTTTAACGGACAAAGTCTCGTGTTCCTTAATAATCATCATAACCTCATTGAGACACCACTCAGAGGATGCATAGTCGTTGGAGAAGACAATGAGTGAAAGTGCTGACTCATGGATGGCTTTATTTAGCTCTGGCTCCAGCAGTTTTCCTCTCTCCATTGCATCATCATCCCGGAAAGTGCGGAGTCCTGCTTGCTTCAAGGCTGTATAGAGATGATCTGTAAAACTCTTACGGGTGTCTTCACCTCGGAAACTTAAAAAAACATCATAACTAAAACAAGGTTGAGCAGTAGCCATGGGAGAAGATGAAGAAGAAGCCATTGATTAAAGTAGAGACAAGAGTGTTGGAATGGAAAAGTTGATATTAAGTCCACTTGAATCTTCAGCAATAACTGGTACCAGCCCCACATATTATAAATTCCTATCATTCACATGGAAAGAAATAACTTTAGGTAGGGCCCATTGCATTAATATTGGAAAATATGGATGATCTCACATTTTTTTATTCCTCTGACTTCCACAGTTGGTAGTTCACCTTGAACTCAATGTTCCATAACCAGCCCAACTTCCATTGCTGATAAATACAAAATAAATAAATAAATAAACGAGGTTGCAATTAAATTGAGGGAAAACATATATTGGATACAAAGAAATAGCTAGATTATATGGTATAAAGTAATAGAGAAAACAATCCCACAAGGTTCACTAACCAAAAACTGTGGGCTATGCCAAGTGGCTGTAATCACCAGAACAAGCTCAAAATCGGGCACAAATTCTTCAGCATCTTTTCTGGCCACTTGTATAATAACCGGAGAAGAAACTTCTTCAATGTGCCTGGAAATTTCTGCATCCAGGGCGCATCTGTAATAATGCTATGGCATGAAGAACTTTCACTTTTAGAGTGATTATGAGCCATGCACACTATATATATATTTGCATGTACACGCTTCATTCCAACACTAGCTTTTGCTAGAAAATACAATGTCGTGTTCCAACCACCTAATAAACAGAATTGGAGGGAATATGTGTCCACATATGGAGTGCTGTTCTACCCATGCAATGTGCCCCGGTGTTGTAACGATAAAGAATGATGTATTAAATTGACTTTGCAGGGTTTTTGTGCAGTAAAAAATGCTGCATAAGTGATTGAACTCAGTGTAATGTGTAATTACAGTAATGTTAATGGGGCTTAACTGAAGCTCTTGCTAACTACAAATACTACTCTGTTCGGAGAACAAACAAATAAATAAATACGTGTTTTCCCTGTGGCTACATGTACTACTAAATTTAAGAGTTGAAAATCTAGAAAGGGATGACTGGAAAACAAAGGAAAAACTGCTGCCTGCCAATGGAGCAAGTGGAAGAGGGCCGAATGGCCATTTAAAACTTACCTTTTAGATCAAAACTAAGATTATCGACTCTAAATAAACAAAAAAAAAAAAGGCACACATCACAGCTTCACTTAGGGAATTGGATACAATTGATATGAGATTTGTTGTACAGAGGAAATGCTTCTGAAGCCACCATTCAATACACATCACCGCTTCAATTAGGAAACTTCAACACGTTATAGCATCCTACTTTAAAAGTTTTGTTAGCATTACCTAGATGGTATATATATCATACTACCATAATAGCATATTTACAATACCTTCAGTCAATATCAACATTCCAAGTGTTCAACAGCTTACCTTGTCAATTTACGGGTGTTGCAATAAATCATAAACTTCAAGAATCTAGGTTAGTAATTGCTGAAATCTTTTGTGTATTTGTTGTTACCTGACAATTTTAACAACTTTTAGAACAAAAGATTCAACATGCATCAAGATTCACCAATGAAGCTTTTCAAAATTTATCAACCCTAATCATGTCGAAGTTCAAGATTAAGGTAAGAAAGTGGTATACCTTAAAACTTCTGATCCAAAATCACCCAAAAATGGAAGAAATGGAAGGAACTGATGAAGTATTAAGGAAATCTCAAAGAACTGATTTGAGCCCAAAACGACTGGTTTTTACCATATTTGGCGTCTTAGAAAGTTGGCTAATAAAAGTCAAAGCATCAAGAGTCATGGTGCTCGACATGAACGTGCGACGACCTCCATGATACTTACAAGTTTCAACGGTAATGCAAGTGTAAAGGGATAAAACTGTGTTATTGTTACTCCCAGTGTGACCATGACTATTTAGTATTTATATTCAACCTTGACCTCGATCTAAAAATCGAGGCTTGTTATAATCAAATTGATTTATTTAGGACGATTTGAAATATTTTATTTAAGAAAAAAAAAACCAATAAACCCTTAAAAGGATAACAAGGAACAGTGAAACACCCTACTAATGTTGGAATCCTAAGTCAAGTAGGACTTGGAGACCAAGTAAGAATGAATTTTTAAACAAGTAGGTTTAAGAGTCCTAGTCTTGTTCTACAAGTCGGTAGAATTTAGGGGTATATATACATTGTTAGAATCGAGTTATGATTTTAGAATGTAACACAATCTAGTTGAGTTTTGAGTTATTTTCTCAATTAATCAAAGAGTTATTTTGGTTATTTGTGTTTCTTGATCTTGAATTGGTATCAGAGCTTAGGTTAAGAAGCTGTGAGATCGAGTTGTTTACCTATTGACGAGCTAGGTCAATATGTCAGACGTAGAAGATGGTGCAGGGCCTCCTCCGGTGAGAGTGAAGGAGGTTGGGACAACCACAGTCGCATGTCCGATGCTTACTTCCACCAACTATACCGTCTGGGCACTAAGGATGAAAGTAGTGCTCAGAATTCACAAAGCTTGGACAACGATTGGCCTAGGAACAGACGATAATGAAGAAAAAAATTACCTGGCAATCGGATTGGTGTACCAAGCAATACCGGAATCGTTGATTATGCAACTGGGAGATGTCGAATCAGCTAAAGTCCTCTGGAACTCGATCAAAGCGAGGCACGTTGGCGCCGATCGGGTGAAAGAAGCCCGACTTCAAACACTAAATTCCGAGTTCGACAGATTGATGATGTCAGAGAAAGAATCAATCGATTCCTTCGCCGGGAAATTGTCAGGAATCGCCTCCCAATCGGCGTCACTGGGAGAAACCATCGAAGAATCGAAGATGGTGAAGAAGCTGTTAAAATTCGTACCAAGAAAGTTTCTTCATATCGTGGCGTCACTTGAGCAGGTTCTCGATTTGAAGACAGTCGGGTTCGAGGACATCGTCGGGCGGTTGAAAGCTTACGAAGAGAGGGTGAAGGAGGCGGATGATAGCGGTGAAGGATCAAGGGTGCTATTTGTAAAATCAACGTCTGGAGGAGGTGGCTCATCGCCTGGTGGGGGGTAGCTCGTCGGGAACGAAGGGAAAGGGAAAGTGGAAAGGATCAAATGGGTCATCTGGGTTAAATCAAGTAAATGGGTCACACGGGTCCAATAAAGCCAAATCAGCCCAAAGGACAAAAACCCAATAACAATTGATCCAACCAGCCCAATAACAATTAGGGAAAATGTCACTGTAGCCCCCACTAACTTACAAGTTTTGGTTTAAAAGGTCCCTTATTTTATTTTTTGGCTTTAGAAGGGCATAAACTAACATTTAACCGGCTAATTTGGGATTTTGACCCAATTCAACCGGTTTGCTTGCCATGTCATCATCCAAGTAACCTACTGAGTCAATTCAGACGAGTCGGTTTACACGTTATCGACTCACCACCGAGTTCACTTACTTGGGCACTAAGGGTTAGGTGGTCCCATACTACATAAATGGATGGTCTCTTGGACAAAACCCTAACACTTTGTTACCACTTCCGGCCAAACACAACCTGACAAACGAAAATAGAATACTCGTGTTCGCTTTCATTGTCTTCCATGGAGCCTACCCCACCACCATCACCAGATACTATAAACTCCAACAACTCGATTAGCTCAAGAGACGGGCTATACTTGAACGATTTGCACACGATTTTCTGCGACTGTGGTGATAAAATAGCCGAGCAAAAAGGTGAGGTGGAGCGCATGAAGGAAGAGATGGGTCGCGATTACCTTCATTCCAGGGTTGATGTCCTGAACATGCAGCAAAGGTTCGAGAAGGTTGAGAAGCAGATTAAAGCTATTGCGTTGTTGGTTGTGGGTCTTGTCGTGGTGATGCTCCTGCTAATGATTTTCATCATTCACTTGATAGTCAGCAAGTGATTCTCAAGGAGGTGAATAGTAGTGGTATGATAATCTAGTGTTTAAGGTTTTTATTGTAATATATGTTATTAGGATTGTGTGTGTTCGTTTGTGTTTGTGGTAATCATCTATGATGTTTGTGGTAATCTAGTGGTGGTTGTTTACGGATGTTTTTTGAAGTCCTGGGAACATGTAACTGTAACAGGCATTTTGATATTATCTTGATGAAATGTAAAGACCTTGAATGCATTTTGATTTGTTGGGATCAATGTTCTTGATTAAGACTAACGATTTGGACACTTGGTTGGCTTAATTAATGAAAATTAATTGTTTTTGGTACACCAACTATGACAGATGTTAATGAGGTCAAACATTGGGGTAATTTCGTCAAGGGGTATTTTCGTCATTTTCTCTTTATAAGTACTTTACCTCCTTTACTCGGCAGTACATCCCATTTCTTTGTACATGTTCTTGTTTGCATTTTGAAGTTAGCAGCTCTCGGAAATAACGAAGCAAAAATGGTGAAATGCTCATGTGGATGTTTGGCCATAATCAGAATGTCTTCCACTCCATCAAACCCTGGAAGACCATTCTATGCTTGCCCCACTAAGGTTTGTTTGACTTTCTTTATCAGGTCACTGTAGCCCTAATTTATTTGTTTTTATCTTTGCATTCTACACTTCTAACTTCTAAATTGATTTTGTTAGGGACCTCGTAATGGTTTTATTTGTTGGGTAGAAGAAGCAGACACTAAGAATATGAGTGCTGAAGCAGTTATGATTGCAGGATTGGCTAGGTCAAAAAAGAAGCTTGAATCAAAGATTTGGAAACTGAAGATGTCTTTAGTTCTAAGTTGGATTATTTTCTTTGGCATAATTGTGTACAAGTTGTCATTCGTATGTAGCAGTTTTTTATGTCCTTGTCAGGGAAATTGTTATGGTTATTTACATTATCCTTGTAATGACTTTCAATCACTAATGTCAATAATAGACACCAATTCCATGTTCACCTAGAGTAAATGGGACCATATATATCCAGCACTAATGTAAATAATGGACCCCAATACCATGCACGTCCATAAACACAACACACCATAGTAATGACTTTCAATCACTAATGTCAATAACACCACAGTGAGTTCTTAACATAGTAATTTATATTAGATTAAAATTAAACAAAAATAGTACATAACATAAAATCAAAACACTTAATTCAACATTGTTTAGCATAACCAAAGTGACTACATAACACCACAGTGAGTACATAACATAAAATTGAAACACTTAATCCAACATTGTTTAGCATGACCAAAGTGAGTACAAAACATCAAATTAAAACACTTAACCCGAAATCAGTTGTCATAAACACATTGACTACATAACGACATTGACCACACTTAATCTATTCTAGTTCCATTGGCTTGTCAATAGTGTGGCCTTCCCCATTTTTACCCTCAACCCGTGTACCAAGTTTTTTCTTCAAAATTCTTTCCGACTTCTTTCTTGTCTTGACAATTACCTTTTTACCCCTCCCTCCTATATCATCTTTACCATCCTTTCTCTTCCTACCACTACTTCCTTCCCTAACTTTTCCATTAATGCCCTTATTACCCCTCCCTCCTTCCTCATCTGTTGGCTTTAGTTTTGTTGGCTTTAGTTTTGTTGGCTTTTCAGATTTAGAACATGTAACCTTGTTATGTCCTGCTTGTTTGCATACACTACACATAATCTTTTTCCCAACCTTTGACACAGTATGTCTAGCACCCCTTTCACTTGAATCCTTTCTTCTATTAACTTTAGGTCTACCTGGCATTTTTCTTTTCAATGGTGGCAAAGGTGGAATGAATTAAGTAGGTGGCCACATGTTGCTACCATTCATCCCACGCATAGGATACTTGTAGGTGTTCTTATAAATTGCTCCATAGTACATTGGATCCACATAATTACCAACATCACTATTAAGGTATGAGATTGTTGCAACTGAATGCACACATCCATACCCATTTAGTTGCCACACTCTACATGAACAAGTCTTCTTATCTACATCCACAACGTAAGACTCTGCCAAATTCCTTGTTTCAAACTGGTTTAAACTAGTAGGTAAAACCTGCCAATACCTGATGCAATGGTATAAAAGTTAGGGTGTATAGTGGAAAAACTAAATGAAGTATTAATAGAAAAGAAAAAACCTTTGAGCTCTTTTCAACTGATTCAATAGGATTGTAATGGCTGGGCATGGTTTATAATCAGGCCATGAACAACCTTTGATGGTGAGATTGAATTGCCTCTCCATAACATACAACCTAATTTCTTCTAACATTGTGATTATTGGTTTTTTCCTTGCATATCTAATGACATTGTTGAAGCTTTCAGATAATCCATTTTCAACTGCATCACACATCCTCCCCTCTCTAAAGAAAGCTCTACACCATGATTTTGGGTTCTTTTCCATAAGGTAGTCAAATGCTGCAGGATTTAGTACTTGTATTTCCTTCATTGCTGCATTGAATAAAGGTTCAGTTGATGCTTTGCAAGCTTTCCAAAACATCCTCTCATAATGCACACCACTGAACCTTTTCCTAAAGTTGGCAACAATATGCCTTGCACACTGTCTGTGTTCAGCATTAGGCATTACTTCCTTCACAGCCTCCAATAGCCCCTATACAATTTAAATTCATATGTTAAGAAAATGGAAATAAATTTATTAACAAGAAATATGAAGTATAATAAGTGATTTACCTTATGTTGATCTGACATCAGGGTGATACCACTACCATCATCAACTTCTAGATCATCTTGAAGATTCTCCAAAAACCATTTCCAATTTTCTTTATTTTCCACACACACAACTGCCCATGCTATTGGGAAAATATGATTGTTAGCATCTCTTCATACGGCACATATCAATTCTCCACTACATAATCCCTTTAAGAAACAACCATCCAGGTTTATTACTCTTCTACAACTTCCTTTCCAACCTTGTTTCAGCCCCTCAAAGCATATGTAAAACTTACTAAAATATGTCTTCCCATCAGGCATACTGTTGACATCGAATTTGACAGTTGATCCTGGATTGGATCTTCTTATCTCTTCACCATATGACCAAAGCTTGGCATAATGCTCAACTAGTGTACCTTCAATAAGTTCAATTGCATATTTCTTTGCTCTTCTACACTGTCCCATACTCACATCAATTCCAAATTTTTGTTTTACTTCTTCCTTTAGTAGCCTAACACTCATTTTTTGTTTTTGTAAAAATTTGGATGTGAAATGGCTACCAATCCATGCATAGCTTACAATTGACCCCATTTTAAAATTTCTAGCACAATTATGGTCATCTATAAGAGACTTAATCTGAAAAGATTTTTCCTCACTCATCCATGAAGCCCACAATCTAAAATTGCATTGCCCTGAACAACATTTAACTAAAAGCCTCCTACTATCATTTTTTTGTAGCACAATTGATATCCTTTAGCAACAGCATAATTACACAACATATGTTTTAATTGTTTAGGATTTTCAAATCTCATTCCTAACACAGGTTTTTGTTTTTTCCAATGAACATTTTCATTAAAAGCTGTTACCTCCTCATGAATTGGGTCGTGTTCATCCATCTGATCAAATGGATCTTCATGAGATGGATCCTCTTGAGGTGGAGTGTCTGGAGTTGGCTGCTCCTTGGGGCAGAGCTTGTTCAAAAATACATCATTCAAGGTCTTGTTATTGGGGATGCAATCTCCATCTTCAATGTTATCGTCCAAATCACCTTGCACTTGTACTTCATCTAGGTCAATGCCTCCTTCTGTCTCAACATGAAACTCTTCTACTACTTCACCTACACCAGAAAACTTGTCCTCGGGGGTGCATACTTCAGCCATCTCATCAACAATCCATTGATGAACATTCACACCAACATGATCCATGTACACAGAAATTACACAGCCAGAATCATACCCTACTTCGATAAACTCTTGGTAGTCTTTCTCAGTTGCTATTATCCTCAGTCCTTCAGGGAACTCAATATCGGGCATGCAAAAGTACACATCAACACACGTCTCGTTTGCGAATCTCTGAATGAACAATAGAAATTCGTTTTTGTCCATTGCAGCAAAATCCACATCCTTAAACCTTTGCTCCACTCCATCTGAGTAACTGATCACTGGATACCTCGTAAACAAACCAGCAAAATGAAGATCTATCTTCATGTAGACGGCCATAGAAAAAATCCAGGTTTGATTTTTGGATGAACAGTAGAAGAAAAAGAAGATATTGGTAGATGAAACCGATTAAAGACGAAAATTACTTGGAGAGGAAGGGTTGGTGTCATTTATCGATACACTCACACGTGGCATATGATTTAGTTTAATGACCTGGCTTTCTTTTAATGACATGTCCAAGAAATAATGTTGATTGGGATTGGGGTCACCGGGTGACCCCTTCACTTTATAAAAAATGGCCTAATTAGCCGGTTAAATGTTAGTTTATGCCCTTCTAAAGCCAAAAAATAAAATAAGGGACCTTTTAAACCAAAACTTGTAAGTTAGTGGGGCTACAGTGACATTTTCCCTAACAATTATGACAAAGATAAAAATAAAAATAAAAAGGACCGATCCAAAATTAATTGTTACCGGTGTGATAAACCGGGCCACTTCGCGTCTCAATGTCCGGACCGAATTAAAAAATTACAAGAAAGTAATTTTGCCGAATATGACGATACCGACGAGACCGTATTTTTACACGAGACCGTATTTTTAAACGAAGAAAAGGTGATACCGTCTCGATACGATTCACAAGATAACGACGTGTGGTATTTGGATAACGAGGCGAGCAATCACATGACGGGAAACCGGTCATTTTTCTCCGAACTTGATGAAGGCATAACCGAGAGGATTAAATTCGGAGATAATTCGTGTGTAAAAATCAAGGGAAAAGGTGATATACTTTTCCAAGGCAAGAGAAGTCAACAAAGGCTTATGACGGAGATTTACTACATACCGGATCTCAAGAACAATATTATTACTCTCGGACAAGAAACCGAAGCCGGATGTGATATTCGAATGAAAGACAACTACTTAACCATGCACGATGCCGATAATTGCTTATTAATGAAAGTACAAAGAACTCCAAACCGCCTCTATAAAATAAAATTACAAATTGGAGTTCTTATTTGCCTTCATTCGAGACTAAGTGAAGATGCGTGGTGATGGCATGCAAGACTTGGGCACATCAATTTCGAGTTAATGAAAAAAAATGTCCAAGAAGGGTTTAGTCAAAGGGTTACCTCAATTTGATCATGAGAATCAATTGTGTGGATCGTGCTTGGTGGGAAGCAAACAAGAAAGTCATTCCCGACTATGACGACATACAATGCAAAACAACCATTGGAACTAGTTCACGGTTGTCACAACTAGCATTCTAGCTAGGAAATTCTGTACTCTTGTAAACATTATCTACTGTAAACTCGTAACCCTAATTCATGTTATGCTTGAAGTTCAACCCATGGAAGCACATTCAAACCTAGATTCATCAAGTAAAGTTGAAAACCCTAGAAATCCCGGTTTATGTCCTATATGGACTAGGATTTCCTTATTGGGCCTAATGGGCCAATAAACTTCCAATGTCACTATTTTGGGCTTAGAACTCGTAATTGGGCTCAAATTCAACCCACTTTCATGAAACTTAACTTTTTGGGCCATAATGGGCCTAAAATGGATTGGTTTACCTTAATGGGCCTTGTTGGGCCATAACAAATCCAATAAGCCCTAATGGGCCATAAAACTCATTCTTTTATGCAATTTGGGCCGTAAACTACCCTAAGTGTCCAATGGGCCGAAAACCATCAATTTGGGCTTCATATTATGGACTCAAGCACAAAAGGCCCAAGCCATTCTCTTCCTTCCGTCTCTCTCGGCCCAAGTAGAAAACAAAAAAAAAAGATGTAATTAGGGAGGGTTGACTTTGGAGGTGCCACCTCCTTATTACACCCCATATCTCCATGCAAAACCCAACATATACCCATGATAGTCATTTCATCACCTCTCTCTTCCCCTCTCTTTTTCTTCTTCGGCCGAGAGCACAAGGAAAACACACACACACACAACATCAAACTTCTTCCAAACTCTCTCAAGTATTCTCCTCCTTCTCACTCCAAAATCTCGAAATTTTGCTTGTGTATCAAGAGGATTTTCAAGAGAATATCATTGCTTCTTGGTAAGTTATACATATCCAAGGATTATATAACTCTTTTCTCATGATTAGATCCCTTCTCTTAAACATTTGTGGTAATCATACTCCTAGAATCACCTCAAGTTCGAGATCCACATCAAGGTGTTGCTAGGACCAAAAGTCTTCTTATTATCTTCTTCAAAAACCGAAACAACTAAGCAAGGTGAGTTCATACCCCTCTATTTTCGGTTTTCATATGATTTATGGGGGAGAATACAAGTCAAATGTGAAGATCTATGTGTATTTGTATGTTATGTGTGATTTCTTGTGTTTTGTGGTAAATATGTACTAAAAATGAAAGATATTTCGAGATCTATAGTTCAAGAAGGAAAAATATGTGATCTAGGTCATACTTCACTTAACATGTCAAGATAAACTACTATACAAGCTTTAAAATAACACACTACAACATCAAAATTTGTTAGTGGACTATTTTTGAAAAATAAACAAAAGATGGGGAAAAAGATGTCATTCACGGTTTCTACAAGGATCAAAAGGTCAAAACAGCCAAAATAAGAGTTTTTATAAATATTAGGCTTTTTAAATGACTAAAAATGTAAATTTTAGCCTAATGGGCTAAAATTTGGG